GGGGGGGGGGGCTTAAGTGCAAAGATACTACAGAAAATATTATTGTTAACTCTTTACCGTCTTTGACAACTATGTTAAAACGTAAAGATATTGATAGCAAGAATCAGTTAGTAAGCCAATGGGCTACAATAGATATTTTGATAGGTGCAGATTATTTTTGGAACATAATGAAAGATGCTACTATTAAACAATGTAAAAATGGGTATTTCGAAATCAACTGTACACTGGGAAACTTTTTAAGTGGAAGGAATAATGATGGCAATATTTCATCTATAATTATTAATGCTACAATTATTAGGAATATTAAAAAAGATAAGGGAATTATCAACATACAGCCTCTTAGATATAATGTAGAATCCTTTTGGGATTCAGATATAACAATATAATGATATAATACAAGAGCAAGAAAAGAAAAGAATAATAGAAAAAGTAATTGAGAGAGGTACTAGCATTAGGATTTATTATTTACTTCATCAAGCAGTAATTACGTGGCATAAAGATACAACAAAAGTAAGAATAGTTCATAGTGCTTCAGCTAAAAATAATGAAGCTTCCAAGAGTTTGAATGAAGCATTATACAGAGGACCGGTGATATTACCTATCCTTTGCGGAATGCAGTTAAGAATGAGAATATATCTTTATTTTATCATGGCAGACATTGAGAAAGCCTATTTACGAAAAGGACTTAATTAAAAGAATCGAGATACAACTAGATTTTTGTGGCTTAAAGATTATGAAAAAGATGTTGGCTCTGAAAATCTTCAAGTTTATAGATTTAAAAGAATAGCATTCGGTGTGATTTCTTCGCCATTGTTGTTAGGAGCTGTTATACAGCATCATCTTAATCAGATTCTTGAAAACCCATTATCTTCTGAAGAGGTGAAATATTATGCTTTTTGTTGTGAATCTAGTTTGTATGTTGATAATTATTAATGGGAGTAAATAACTTAGACGAAGCCAAAAAGTCTTATAAAATTTTAGAGGATTTATTCCTTCAAGCAGAAATGAATTTGAGAGAGTGGAAATCTAATATATCTGAATTCAATGATGAAATTTCTCCTGAAGATCAGATGGCTAAGGAAGAAAAACTTAAAATATAAGGATTAACTTGGATCAAAAAGGGAGATATGTTGAGTTTAAAATTAGTTGAGGTAGCTAGACGTGAACAATTGACGAAACAACAAGTACTTAATTAAATGGCAAAAATTATGATTCTTTAAGTTATTTAATACCAGTATTTACAAGAACTAAAATCTTTTTTAACAGTTATGCAAACTTATATTACAATGGGATGATAAAGTAAACCGCGAATCAGATAAAGAATGGAAAGAAATTATTGAAACATGGCAAGGAGAAATTGAAATAAATATTTAAAGAGATCTAAAATTAAATGATTTTAGTCTTGAGTTACATGCATTTACAGATGCCTCTCAGAAAGCTTATGCAACAGTTTTATGTGTGAGGTGTAGAAATGAAAAGGTTGATTATGATTGTAATATCTTATTTTCCAAAACGAGATTAAATTCTTGTAAAGAAATATCGATTACCCGACTAGAATTGCTTGCCATTTTAATTGGAGTAAGCGCAATAAAATTTGTAAGGAAAGAGACAAAGTTGATTTTGCAAAAATGCTATTTATGAAGTGGCTCTGAATGTGCACTTAATTGGGTCCATTCATCTAAGTTATTACCAAGATTCATAGAAAATAGAGTAACAGAAATTCGCAGTTACAACAATTTAGAATTCAAACATATTTCAGGAGTAAAAAATCCTGCTGATATTCCGACACGTGAGTTTACATTAATAGAACTTCGTTTGTGGCGTAAGTGGTGAAAAGCTCCTGATTAGTTGAATAAAGAAATAATTGAAAAAGAAGTAGGAATTAATAATATCATGGCTTACAGTTTTGGAAAGGGAATATCTAGGCCTGAATATACAAAGCCAAAAGTTCATCTTTTCGGAATGTACAGGTAAGAAATTGATTGAGTTTCAAATTTACCATCGTCTATTGTTTGAGATTTTTAAGAAATAAAATTTGGATTAAACTAAAAGAAGACTTTAAGAAGAAATTAATGTTATTTAAAAATGTTAATGAGAAGAGGAGTATAAATTATAAAGAGATTAAAATAGCTGAAGAAATTATTATTAAGGAAACGCAAATGTTTTATTTTCAATCATTTTTTGATAATGACTGTTTAGACCTAAAATTTAAAATATGGGGAATTATTAATTATAAAGGCATATTAAGATGTCAACAAAGAATAATGCAAACTTCTTCAAGTCGAGAAAGCCCTATATTGTTACCATCTGGTGATATAGTAACTAAATTAATAATTGAAGATATACATAGAAAATTAATGCATGCAAATACACAATTTACATTAACACAGTTTGGAAGACTATTGTTAGATACCTAAAAGTAGGAAAGAAGTTACACAAGTAATTAGTGCATATTTATATTGCAAAAGATGAACTGCAAAACCCTATACTTGTCCTTCTATAGCTCCATTACTAAAACTTCGACAAATTCAGTCACAGCCAGTTAACTACTGTGGAGTAGATTATTTTGGACCTATAACTGTTGAGTGGAGAGATGACGTATTAAAGTATGGAGAGCACTATTCACCTGTTTGACAACCCGAGCCATTCATATGGAATTAGTATCGGATTTATCTGCGGAATATTTTATGAATTGTTTTAAACGATTTGTGGCCAGAAAGGGAATTCCCAGGGTCATCTGTTCAGATAATGGAACTACGTTTGATGAAGCTTCACATATCTTAGAAGAACTGTTACCAAGAAACCGTTACCAATTTGAATATACGAGTTACCAGCAGAAGAAAGCAATGAACAATTAATAGTGCTGCAAAGATGTTCCATTGAAGGTGAAGTATAATAGATGATATTATCAGTGTACTTCTTCTTGTCCTTGTAGGAACCTTTCCACACTTTGCTTATATAGGCGTTTATGTAATGATAAATTATTACGTAAACGTATAACCTATTGTGTTCTCGATGATGTCATTTAACTATTCGTCTGAGAAACTCAAAAGGTTTATTGTTTTAATTATGTGATTTCCTAGATTCCTATCATCCTAAGTATGTGCAATAACAACATTCCGTGTTGCTCTGCAACAAAAAGGTTCATACAGAAATAACAAAAAATGAAGCAAAATCAAAAGACAAATAAGAGGTGCATGTAACTTGATCGAAGGAAAATAACAGATGAAAAAATAACAGATGAACAAAATCAAAAATAGATTTCACTGAAGGTCCTGAAATTATAAAGAAGTTAAGAGATTCTTCTTCATTCTCAAGTTCACTCATTTGTTTACTTCTTAAATCTCCCAGATATTCTTATTGCCACATATTCCAAAATATCTTGATAATGCCTGCACGATTCTTATAAGTTTCTACTAATAGATTTCGTTTATTAGATGGATGATAATCGGGTTTTTATTCGTCCCCTTCTTCTAACGTTGGCAGAATGAATTCCTTTCCTGGTAATTGGAAATCTATAGGTCTTAAAATATCTAATGAGATTTCTAGATATAAATATGTAAAGGTCTACAATTAATTATTGCTTCTACCTCACACAACAATGTTTTATATTCATAATTATTTGTGTCGCGGATGCGACAATTAACTATTGAAAAAACTGCAATAATTGAGGCACCTAGCATTATATAATTGGAAAGAAATTAAGCGATAGCTTTTTGGTACCGGCACTACGGGCACAGAGGGTATGTATTTCGTTTTTTGAGCTTTAAACAATATATAAGAGGTTAAATTAAAGAAGAGTTCAGTTTTGACGTTTTGTTCAGTTGGAACTTGGTCGTTGTTTTTCCTTAAGGACCTTCAGTGAGATCTATTTTTGATTTTGTTCATCTGTTATTTTCTCATCTGTTATTTTCCTTTGATCAAGTTACATGCG